TGAATTATGTATATTTTATTCTATAGCTCATGACTGGTTTGTTTGTGAAATAAGAAAAGACATTAAGTTTCATCTAGACAGACGTCTTCTTTTATCTCATCTCTTCTGCTCATTCATTTCTTACTGAGACAAGTAAAGACCACTTGAGCTGCTTTCAGACATGCACTTTATTCGAAGGGGGTGCATGTGTGACAGATGCAAAAATGAAAAAACAAAACAAAAAGAAAAGAAATATCTCCTGGTGAAAAAGTGCTGTCATACACGTGGAAGACATCGATGAAGATGTCTGGAGAGTTTTCTGGTGAGTTTTCTGGTGATTAAGAGTCGACACCGGTGTTGCAAAAAAAAATCATGTGATCTACGCAGAAGAGTTAATACGTCACTTCCTGCCTCTGTCTGCTTCACCTCTCGCCTCCTGCAGAGGATTTGTTGATAATGTGAACACGTCGCTTGTGTTGTGCATGAAAGGCGAACTGCGGGTAAAGTCAGTAGGCAATTCTCTCAACTTGGCAACTACAGGGACGTAGAAAGCTTGTGCTGTAACAGGAATCTTTAATCTGTGCCTTGGACTCCAGGCTGGCCAGAGATAAAACACAATGACCCACAAAGTCTCTCGCTCTCTAAATGGGGACGCATCATGTGTAGGTCTAGATGAAAGGTGGCTTGTTTGTTGGAGTTTGTTGGCTATGAGACAAACGTTATTTGGCTAAAACTAAATTCTCATTTCCTTTTAAGATTTGATTTGCTGAAGTTTAAACAGAATCAATGTAAATACTCAACTGTGCTGCCATTGAAAACCCGTGAACTGACCCGATTCTATAAATCCAACCTGCTGTATTTGGTTTTTACCGAACACATCTGGTGTTTTACCTTGAGGTTGATGCGCTCCAGCAGGTCCTCCACCGAGGTGGGCTTGGGTGGTCGGCCCTTCCTCCTCCTCCTCACGGGCCTCTTGGGTTTCTCCTCCTCTTCGCTCAGCACGTCCACGTAGATGAACTTGAAGGTGCCCACTTTGTTGTTGAGCAGGCCCATCCACGTTCCCATGGGCGGCTTGCTGATGATGTCGATCACGTCGCCGCGCTGGAGGAAGAATTCAGAATCAAAGAATGAACCATCGTTTGGCTTTTACAGGAACTAGCTTGGAAAATTACAACAACATACAAATAGATATTAAGAGGTACAGAGACTGTGACTACTGACTTTTCAAATACGTGATTATAAACTAGCTGTGCACATTCATTTCTATGTCCCCGAGTGTGTTTTACCTTCAGTTTGAGTGAGTCCGTGTCATAGGGGCTGGGGGTGAAGTCAGTGTGGACCCTGGCCCGACCGCAGAACGGTCCCCTGTACGGCGGCTCCTCGTCATCGCCATCTTCCGACTTCACGCTCTCTCTGTTACTGGCCGATGAATCGGTGGTGCTCACCGTTTGACCACCTGGACAGAGACACGTTTATAGAAGCTAGAAAACACAGTCGATCCAGAGTGAAACTGTCATCAGAACATCTCCTCATTGTCACGGTTTAATGTATAATGGCTCCTCAAGTAGATTCACGACTCAAGATTGAGTCAGTTTCTGTTTCAGTCAAGAGTTTAACTGGGTCTTAAACACGTGTGCTGCACATCCTGGGAGAAGCGGAGTATTTGCTGCATATTTAAGCGTCCGAACAATCGGTGCAGGAATCACGTCGACGTGTGGAAATCAAAGAGGCAAGACTTCTGACCTAATCATTGCCGCATGTTTGTCCGGCTGTTCCGTGGCTCCGAATCGCTTCGAGTCGGCCAAGCGTTCAATTCACTCTAAACTTAAAACAGCGGAGGGGAAATGTATCCACAAAGATGTGACGCAAACACCAGGCTGAAGTAATCAGAGGATGTAATTGGATGAGATGACCTGAGACCATGAAAACAGGCTTGGAAAACTCACGACACATGTTGAGGCAGCTGGTGGAGCTGGGTGTTATCAACAGAGGAACTCATGGAATTCACGCCAGAAAAATCGTAAGTGCTCTACATGTAATGCCAGACGCAGCATAGAGGTTACATCATCTGTCTGGATTTGAAATATGCAACTGTACAAGTTACAGGTGTTTTGTATTGAGAGGATATTTGAATCTTCAGATTTTCATTCATACGTTTACAGGAGCTACGTGATGCCAAAGAATGTAGGGAAAATAAAAAGAGGCTTGAAAAAAACCCCAATCCTGATTACGTTTTCTCTTATTCACAAAATCTGAATGATTTTATCTGACAAAAACCTGCATGTCTTCTCTAGAATAACAACTCTCGTCTTACTCATTGAGCTTTGTCCGCTGAGTGAACTGCGCAGGCTTTCCACCGAGCCCCCGGCCTTGAGCTTTGGCTTCTCCAAAGAGTCGGTGTCGGGCTGAGGGGACTGAGGGGAACCGGGGGCGCCGTCCGGACTGGACTGAAAGACAAAAAGAGAGAGGGAGAGATGAGAATGGATTATGAATGGACACAGGGAACAGACAGAAATATGTGATGGGAAAGTGGGATTAAGAGTTTGTCATGCGTGGGAAGATAAGGAAAGTGGGAGGCAGGATAGGGATTGTATTTTTTTTTATTGTTAATGATGTTTTAAAGAGATATACACATAAAAAACGGAGTTTTAAACATTATTGTGATCATGCAGTTTTATCAGTTGTATTGATTCAATACAAATTCTAGCGGCCTTCTGAATATCTTCTTCTGATATTTTCATTCAAAGAATAAGAGGGTTTGAATCAGTGCTGTATAGACATTCCTTCATAAAGCTCTTAATTCTACACAGACGACCACTGTGGTTTTTTGCTCCTCATCCTTTTCTCTGGAGTCGCTTCAGTTTTCCTCCGCAGCCAGAAATTGCTACAGTGGACGATAAAACTTTCACTGGTCATGCGACCATGTGAGTTCTGCATTAAGACACTTGAAAAGTGACCATATCCTTCATGTGGTGAAGTGACATCAGGGAGCGCTAGAGGAGGCAACAAAAACATCCAGCCAATAAAGTCGTTCAGAATAAAGAGGTTTTTCTTTTCTGCTGGAACTGATTTCTGAGTTTACTCACTGTCTAATGTCCTGTCGGAATAACTTACTTCAAGGGGAATTACATCAAATTATGGAGGCAATGACAGAATTTAATCTGCCTGTTAAAGTAATTTATTAACTCACAAGGGCCAATGGGTTGTTCTGCATTAATTAAATAACTAGTAACTGGATTAAAAGTTTTCTTTTAAATGTCTGATTTAATTCTAATAATGAAGCAGCAACATCCATAAACATGTCTCATGCAGATCTATTGTACATGTTTTATTTGATCTAGTATTCCACTAGGTGGCATTGTGGTCTATAAAATGACCATGCTCGAGACATCATGACATGACTGTCAGTTTTTCTTTGCTCTCTCCTGCCCGATGGCTCCGTGACTCACGCCAGGAAATGTGGGTCACACATTGAGACCACCGCCACGGAAAGACGTCCCTTAATGACATATTTCGTTGGGTGTCATCAAGAGGCAGCTGGTGGAGCCACTGGATGCCCAGAAAAATTAAAGCCAGAGCAGATGAGACGGCCATTTAACACACTCGCACTTAAAGTCTTCATTTGCTAAGAACGAGCCCGCGGGACACTTCTTCTGCATGAGCTCAGTGCGAACTGTCGACCACACCCCGTCCACGCGGGGCCCAGCAACAGCGCGGCAAAGGGAGGAATCCAAATGTATGTTTTTAGTGCTCCGTGTTTATTCTGTAACCAACACAAACACCCCCCGCCCACTCACAGCCCGTGGACTGAGTGTGTGGCCTACGCTGCAAAACTTCCTCTAAATGTTTGCAGAACACTTGGGAGCTTTTATTTCTTTACAGCTGTGCTTGGCTCACTTTTCCAAATGATGAAACACAATGTGTAGATTGTGTTTGCTGCTGGGTTTTAAACAAAGTTATGGTCTGACTTTGTTATACATACTTAACGTACCCTATCCCTATATCAAGGGAAAGTATTAAATGTCCAACCTGCTCGGACAAGGAGCTGCTGTACTTCTTCGACATGCGTTTCCTCATCGTCTCCTTCACCGACTTGACCTTCTTGCCCAGTGAGATCCGGGACGTCGTGGGGGATTTGACCACTTCTCTGTATATAGCTTCTTGTTCTTTATTCTGTTACGAGAAGAAAAAACAAAAACAAGGATGAACAAAGAGGAAGGAGCGAGTGATGGGGATGAATCGGAAGGAGATTGAACGGGTGAAGACAAAGGGCAAAGGGGGGGAATTACAAAAACAAAGGAGTGAACAGAGGAGATAAGGTGATTTAGCGAGACCTCGCAGCCTTTCCTCATTTTACAAGCTGCCAGCACTTACGTTGGCCTCTGAGCCCGTGTTGAGCACGTGGAGCGAGCGGTTGGACAGGTCGAAGCCTCCGAAGCTGCACGTTCTCTGCGAGAGGGCGGGGGGGCAAAACAGAGTCACAATGAGTCAAGCTCAAAAGAGGTCACGGTAGATCAGCCCCCCCCCCCCCCCCAATCCACACCCAACGAGGGTCAACACACGATGATTCATGCTTGGCGGGACACCGGCAGCGGTTTGATTAATGGACGTGGGTATATGACTTGTACATATGTGGGGGCATGATGTCATATGGGACTGTGGACAGCCAACAGACATGATGTAACACAAACCGTTATATGAGTTCTTCTTTAAAACTGCCTGAGTGGCCTATTTGGAAAATGAGCGGTTACATTGACCATGCAGAACTCGCAGTCGGAGTACGACGCGCTTCTTTAAAACTCGAATCCCTGGAGAAAATATAGGACAAAATGAACGTCTACTTGATGTGGTCGAGCTAATATATATAGTTGTGCTTTTACAAGTGAAAATACTGCGTGTTCATTACAGCTCAGCCTCATGGGATTCGTTTTGTGGTTAATTGTGAGAAATGCAAAGCTGGGCTGAGTATGCAAACATGCACAACATATAGACTGACAATGTGTTATTCTCTTCAGGAATCTTTTTAAAGGGAGCGTATTATTTCTGGAGAGGACAGGGGTGGGGCGCAGAGATTTTTTTTTTCCAGACTTCAGCGGTCACAATAAGGGGAAGACATAAAGTGACATGAGAGGGGGGACAAGAAAATAGGATTTTATCGCTAATCTACTTTTTGAATCTGTCCCAAGATCTGCATCCGGTCATTCACAAAGATGTAGACACACATATGCACATAGAATATCTGCCATAAAAACACTCCATGGCATTTCTCCTTTGCTTCACAAACATTTAAACTACTCGACTAAACTCCCACGATTCCCCTGGATGAGGAGCGTCCACGTGAGAAGAAAATTAAGTGTCTCTGTATTAGATGTCCACAGCTGCAGTCCACATCACAACTTCCCAGGAGATAAAAAAAGCACAGTTTGGAGAAGAGAGAGACGTCCAATGTGATGGTGATGTTTGATGGAATGGACATGCACCCAGAAAAAGAAAAAAGCCTTTCGACGATAATTATAACGAAAAGAAAAAACAACCGAAAAATAAAAATTTCACATCTGCAATTATAGAGGCACGGGCCAAAAAAGAAGAACACGAAAAGCAACAACAGAAAAAAGTGGATTCGGAGAGTCTTTGGATGAGAGCGACCTCCAGTGATTTCACTACTACACGATAGGATTCAGGTACCCTCAAAGCTGCAGGATAGCTCCTCTACATCGCCACCTAGAGTGTGTGTCGCTACATGTACCGATAAGTTGGGAACAAGTACAGACCTTGGTTCGTGCTTTTTAACATTTATATATTCTTATATTCACTGTTGTATAAATATTAATCAGTAGATGTAGTTGACCTGTTTTTTCTGTTGTTTCCACTCTTTCATGGCTCAGCCTTGTAATATCAATTTGAAAGTTGAGTGTAGAGACGCATCAGTCACTGCGGTTGACTTAATAAGGCCATTCATTGAGTCTCTGAGGCTGCGTGCTGTGCAGTTCTGAGGATGAGCGGCTCCGAGCTCATGCAACATCTCCTCTGCCCACAGGGATCAGTGTGACTGTGCGAGTGCTTGTGCTCGGGGATCTGACATTTATTAAAAGGCACTTATGAAACCTCCGCCGTAACTTAATATCTCAAGTGGGGCACTGCACATCCCGTAATCATTTCATTTTCAGCCTGAGTAAAAAGGTTTGAAGCCAAAAGACATTAACTGAAAGGTCAAGGAAGAAGACTTCCCGCTCGGGGCTGTAGGCTCTGTGATGGATATGTGACTTCTCTGTTTTCAGTGCATGAGTACGGCTGCAATACTTTGATGTGGAAGTTTCTAAACGTTAGAGTGGAAGACCTGTCCTGTGTGTTTGTGTTGTGAATGTTTGCTGCACCTTCAACTCTAACCTCTGAGCTATTCTGCAACTTTGAAGAACACAGAGTCCTGCTCACACGAGGCGGCCGATTGACACCTCACGGTCCCAAACTCACAGACTTCTGCTGGATGCGCAAGAGCACACGCTTGGTGCAGCGGTCCACGCTGGCCGCCCACTTCCTGTCCGCCTCACGGTCCTCCTCCAAAAGACAACAGCGCTCAGCGCGGCTGAGGGTAACCGGGCGGACCAGCTGGGCCCAGTTGAGGTGACCATAAAGGCTCCGCTCTACCACATAGGTGATGTTCAGCTCACTGACTGCTGTTCGCCCACGCAGCCTGCGAGAGGGGAACACCCAGCCCCCTCCCCCGCTTCCAAAACCCTTTGATTTGGCTACATCACAGCGGGAAGGGGAGGAGGGGGTGACAGACAAGGGGGAGACAGGGGTCTTGGGATTGCGCGAGCGCTGGTAGAGTAGGTGCTTGGTGGAGTAAGCGTAGTTGGGGTCAGGTTTCCGGTGCGTCCAGCTGCCATGGTGCCGGTTGGCAGTTTGGTGTTTGGGGCTGCCTTTTATGCCGTCATCCAGGGAGATCAGGAGGCGAGACTGGGAGTGGGGTTTGGGACGAGGTTTGGTGAGGCCATAGTAGGCATAGAGAGCCTCGTTGTTACTTACCCCATGGGAGATGGAGCTCAAGGCCTTCCGCATCTCGCCGTCGGTCGTGGAGCGAGACAGTTTGCCCTCGTCGTCCAATCCACAGCCATCCAACTCTGAGAAGGAAGAGCCACTCCCTCCAACGCCGGAGATGGAACCTCCCAGGCCGCCAGAGCCAACTGGAGTCCTCCTGGGGGGCCGGATGAGACCGTGGGTGCTGGAAGACTTGCTGAAGGTTTTGACCAGCTTGTGTCCGGACCAGGTGTCCAAGCTGCTAGAGGAAGGGGAGGTGGTCAGACTGTCTGTGTCTCCATCCAGAGACAGCTGATCCTGGGTGAGGGAGGGCAGAGAGGCCTCCTGAGGCAGAGGGGGCTTCTTCAGGACCCCCGTGTACAGAGCTGTGTTGTCCTCACAGGTGGGAGGCCCGTCCAGATTCAGAAAATCTAAACCAGACAAAAACATCCGCAAGGATTTAAACATCAGATTCTCTGCAGTCTCATGACAATTCTGTGGTTTCACAAACCACAGCTAAGCAGCAAACATTTCAAAACACATTCTTAAAGTCTGAGTATCAAGCAAAACCTATGACAGACAAGAAAATAAGACTAAAGCAAAAAATAAATCCTTCAAGCCCAGTCATCACTTTACAAAAACACATTATTATTGTTTGACTTTATTAATTTAGAGCTTTAAACTTATGTTTTTAATTTTCAAGCACTGAAACCTTAATGATGAAATACAATACAATACATTACATGACTGGTTTACACAAATACTGACTTGTCTTGAATTAAACTATGTTGACCTGTAAGATAAATACAAGGAATTAATGATCTAATGGTTACAAACCTTCAGAGCCATGTTTCTTGCCCTCTTCCACCTTGATGAGTTTCTTCCTGACCCGGCGTGTCGAGTTAACCAGCTTGTGAAGACGCTTGAACTTCACAGAGTCCTCTGATTGCTCATCATCTGACTGTTCACGAGACTGGTGGGAGAGAGAAAGAAGGAGGGATGATATAATATAAAGGGACAGACAGTCTAACATGTGTAAAAAAAAAAAAAAAAAAATAAAATAAGAAATAAAATGAAATGAACAACTAGAATCCGCTCTGACTGTCTGGTTATCTTTATCTTACAGCACCTGCAGTGCAGAAATCAACACTTGATA